CGTACAGAACCAGGTGTCCATGTCTTCCTCCTCCTCTTCCTCCCTGTGCTGTAAATACCCTGTGAGTAAGGTTTTCAGCTGTGTCTCCAGGTCCCAGCAGAGACCGCGTGGGAGTGGAGCTGACAGTTTGATCCTCACTGCCCACACTGACTCCACTCTCAAATCTTTAACTGTTTTTTTCTACAACTCTGGACTTTAACTAAGGACCAGCACAGTCACCACGGCTGAACTGGTTCTCTGTGAGCTAGGTAACACCCACAATCTGACCCACAATAACAGAAATCAGAGTCACACAAACACAGACACACAACCCACTAGTCAGGACCCAGCTCTGACACCACCACCCTGACTGATGGTTGTAGTTCTGTCTGCTCAGATCCGGTCCCTGTCTCTACCCTGGACCTGGTCTTAGCTCCCCTCACCCCACCATCAGTCCAGGCTCATGCTGCTGTCGTTCCCTCCACCCATTCTGAACCCCAGATGCAGCTTGATCCTTTATTCTACTCCGGTCCTCCTGTCCTTTCTCGCCAGCCTAGTTTAACAGTTAAAGCATAATCATCAATATAGACTTTTATTTTTAATAAGTGTTTGTCATGGTTAAGAACTTCCTAGTTTGCAAAGCTCATTTCCTGTTAGTCATTTGAGGAAGCTGGCTGAGTCACATGCTTTCCACATACACTCTGATCTACACTGTTAATAACACAGAGACAGTGTCTTCACTAAATAATTTCATAGTTGTACTTAAGTTAATGTTAAGTACATTATTTACATACAAGTCTTTGATGCTTTTGTAATTAAAAAAGTTTATTATAGTGTATTAAATTACATATTTAATACATTTAGTAATAACATAACAGTTTCTGCTGTGTCTGTGTGAGATGGTGTGAAGAGCCACAGTCAACAGCACGTAAAGCTAACGCTAACTAGGCCTCAACTCATCATGTTATAACCACGAGTTTAGTGTACACTGCAGAAAAGAACACAGAATCATGATGACCTTTACAGAGCTCATACTCCACATCTCAGGGACTAATTACTGTGAAATATATGAAATCAAATGAAAATCAAACAGTCTTACTTGTTCTCATGACTCAGTATATTATTTTACTAAGTCTAATCAATTATGAATCAAAAGAGCAGAACGCCTGGATGGTGACTTCATTTAAAAGTGAAGAGTCAAGTTTCTAAAGCAACAAGCTCTTTGAGTTTCAATTTATCTGATCATTTATAAATAGGTTTTTGTGTCCCTGAAGACTGAGACAAAACTGTGAACTTCAAACATCAGAGCTGAGTCGTCTGTCAGGTGTCAAATAAATCACCTGATTAACCCTGTAATTAAATAAAGGAACATTAAAGCCTAACTTCTTCAGACCCATCAGCTCTGAACAGTCACCTGAACTCATCACACCTTCAGCAGCAGCTCACAGCACAGTTAACTCTGCTGCACACACACACACTGGTGTAAGCACACAATCAATACACTTAGCGACACACACACATGCAAACACTCAAACACAACAGTACGTGCATCGTGCTGCAACACTGAGACACATGAGGGAAACTAATCTATGTGTTTGTTTCCTAACACTCTCAGATTCATCATGTGTGCTAGTGTTTCTGTTCATGTGAAGCTAGTTTGAGTGAATCCAATGTGTTTGGAGATTCATTCTCCTCTCAGTCAGTCACAGACCTTTATTTGGATGGTACAGTGAACAGTGAATCTGCAGCCATGCTAGGCCTTAAAGTTCAACTCTGATGAGAATTAAGTCCAGTTCTCTGAGCATCATGGTTCCTTGTTTTCACATGTGGCTGTTGACTCTGCAGCAGGTAAAGATTTCATCATTAACCTCTCTGAAAGCTGAGGTGGATGACGGACACTGGTAAGAATATGTTCTTCACCCATCTGAGGAGGGGACCAGACTGGGACCTCCCAAACCTGGGCAGCATCACCTTGTTCGGGCAAAAAGGACAAACTGTAGCTCCCTTTAGGAGTTCTTCAATCCCCATGAAAGGGAGCTGCTGTATAGAGACTCTTCAGAGTCTCAATGCAGGTCCAGTGACCAGGCCGAGTTATGGCTGCCTCACAGCATGTTTGGTGTATCAGGGCTCAGCTGCTTTTTAAGATTTACTACAAGAGAGTCAAAGGGAAGGAGAAACTCAATGGAAGATTGAGTCTAAGCCAGTCCGGTCTATTTACTATATCCTTTCCTCTTCAAGGTGAGAACATGAGGTGCGTGTTCTTGTCTTTACAGTAGAATAAAAACAGAGCTGCAGGTGCTAAGGTAAATACAGGAGCTGAGGTTATTTCCTCTACAGACAGAACAGCATCATCATATTATTCCCACACATAAAGAAATGTAATTCTTCACAGTTGGTGTGTGAGACTTTAACACAGAAGAGGAAAGCTCAGACACCACAGATCTGTTTTAATTAGAGCCAGTCTCTGCTGCTCCTGCTGAGGATGTGTTTGGCCTCACATTAATAACCAAACACATGGATTCATCTCCTCAGTCTGGAGCTGAACAAGAGACAAACTGGACAGAAGCTGAATATAGCCCTGTTCAGAAATGTGATCCATAACATTACTGGTTTCATTCATCTGTTTAAGTAATGACTTCTAACCATGGCTCCCCATTAAAGAGCTGTTCGACGTCAAAGAACCAGAATGAATAGAACTGCAATGCCCATAGGATCTGACACAAAGGTCTAATGGTCTTTCCTCCTGCTCAACACTGCTCCAGCTGCTCCAGCTGCTGGACAGCTGCAGATTAATGACACTGTGAGAGAAGAGTTCCTACTGCAGACACATATTAAAACTTATAGTGGAGTCAGTGAACTTCAGCCAGACCACAGCTGCCACTGAGGAGGACGGAGATCACAGAGCCCTAGACAGGTTTAATTTATGAATTTAGACTGGACTTCGGTAAGTGTTTTATCTTCATTTAATATCACTCAGATGTTTATTTTGAAAATAAACAATAACACTGTATTTTACAGGTGTTATAATCTGCTGATGTCTGAAGAAACTCTAGTTTTAACAATTGACCAATAAATCAGTCACTTCCTGTTCTTCACCTGTTACTGTGTTAATGATCACTGACGGTCAGGATGTCTCTTTTACCTGATCATTATAACCCGGTTTTATTTGTGTATCTGTGTGTATTAACCATCCGTGAAGGCTTCATGGAGACTGGAAAAGCTCAGAGCTTTCACCCTGCAGGTGATTGGACAAACCATCTGTATATCACAGTCTAACTTCAACCGATCAGAATCTGAATCCCTCCTATGTTTTTTCTGTTGGTGAATCAGACTCTTGGTGAAGAGGTGGTGAATGTTTTCATGCTCCCCTGTCAGTGAAGAAAAACGCTATAGCAGCTTCTACACTGAGCTCACACCTAAAACATACCCCTACCTGCCAATAGCCCCTCCCTCAGAGGAAGCTGATTGGTCCAGGCGGTTCAACTACAAGACAATAGCTGGGAGTTTTGAAGAATCCATGTCTCAAAAGGTTACAGTACTGACCACATTTTATACTGTGTGTTCCTCTCTCACTGGTGATGATGATGAAGACTGTCAACTTTCTACATCTTCTGAAGAGAAGGCTGTCAGTTTGAGATCGATCCACTGCTCTGCATGTGTTCTAACTGTCTGAGGTCAGTTGACAGTCATGTGCAGTGAGACGGCTGCACAGACATCAGTCTTTACAAATGTGATTTATTTGTTGTTGTGAGGTTAATGTAAAACTTCCTTGTTCATATTATTTCATGTTGTTACATTATATTGCATTCAACAAAGGTGTGTTTTTCTACCAGGTGTTTTTTCATCATTTTCTAGTTTGTTGAAAGTTGTATTCTACAGTTTCTTCAATACAGGATAAAGCACATACATATTATATGGTGTAATACTTTTCCTAGTTATCTTGAGAAACTACAGATTCTACAGAGAGCCATACATGCAACATCATGGTCACAGTAAATGCTCCCACTGACCATCTTTGAAGCTCACTGAAAGTAACATCTGTCACAAATCTTGTATGATGTAGAAAGTTGTAGAAAGGTAAATGAATCTGTGACCTTACTGTAGTTAACCTTCTCTCACACACAAGACCAGAAAAAAGATTCTTATAAAGGGTGAGAGACATAAGCTTAACTGTAGAGATGTAGTGTGGTGTGAAGGAGTCCACAGTCTTTTTTTAAAAACAATAGATTTTACTTAAACATGTTTAAACTGAAAGACTGGGGTCTTCACAACTGGTTCCTCTACTGTGCTATTATTTTATTTACCCATATTTTCTAATTGTGTGTCTTACCTATTGAATTAATGTTTGGACTGATGAGACAGATGTTTTTGGACCATTTAGTTTTTCTTTTAAGAGTTTTAGGTTTTAGGTATTTGTACATACAGTGACCAGGCAACTGGGTTTGTTGTTGTTGTGTTTTTAGTTGAACAACATCATCATCTACATTTACTGATCAGGTAGATGTTGGTGAGGGACATCACTGAAGCTTCAGTACAATAGGAGACCTTAGTGTCTTAACTACATCTATTTAATAAGTGAAGAAGATCAGGTAAAGAAGTGAAGATGTGATCTGTGAGAGATTACACTTTCACTACATTTTCTTCCTCTGACTCATGTTTACATTCAACTGTCTTCTCTGTCTGTGACACTGTGTCAACTGTAATATGAACCGTGTGTTTATGGCGCGGTTAGTTTCCCTGGTGCCTCAGAGCCAAACAAAGAGCACAAACATCTAACTACCAACCTGCAGGGAGAGACGGACAGAGCAGAAGTCCTGGAGGACGGAGCAGAAGAGAGTCCACACACACACACACACACACACACACACACACACTCTTTAATTAGCTTTGTTCCAAATTTGGAAAAAGTGTTTTCTGCTCTGTCTCTTTTTCTTCTTCTCTTACAGTGACACAGAACCATGACCTTTTCCCTCCTCCCTCCTTCACCCCCCCTTTCCCCGGCCTCTCCTCCTCCCACTCACCTCCTGCAGACGCTGGATGTGTTCTCTGCAGGTCTCTAAGTCACTGTCACCAGGAACCACAATCAGACCCAGAGGAATGGCTGCAGACACAGAGAAACAGGACAATTATCCTGCAGCACTATCACATTCACACTGTTCAGATCCAGACCTCAGGACCTGAGAGTCCTGCTGGTCCTGGTTCTGCTCATCTAACAATGAACTGATGGAGAAACAACACCAGCTGAACATCTGGCTACAGCTGCATCACTTTGAGGATGATGCTGTAAATGATGGTTCAGTATTTCCTCTGTGTGAAGGACAGACTGCTCTGTGTGTGTATGATCCACTGAGCTACATCAGTCCACGAGTCCAGAGCCAGACCCCAGAGCCAGAATACAGAGCCGGGTGGATGCTGGTGTCTGTTATCTGATAAACTGATCCTGACCCAGTGGCTCATCATCAGTGAGTCTGCTCCCTGAGGAGATGCAGGCCGGACGCCCACTGCACCAACACAATACTGCTGACTGAACATCACATGGCTCCTAGTGCTGGAGGAGCAGCTCCTGAACCCACATACACATTTTATCTATCTAAACACCTCTGATTTATCTAAATACCTGATTTATCCTTGATTTATCTGAATTATTCAAGTATAAGAGAAGAGTGTGTTCACTGGTGGGGGTTATGAACCAGGACCATTTTCATACCATCAACACATCACTTCAAAGAGTGTGTCTGAGCATGCTCCTGTTTTAACTGCTCCTGTTTCATGTGGCAGCTTATTGGCTGTTGTGTCTGGTGATGTCATGTACAGGTGTGTTTGTAAAGACAAGACAACATGAGGAACAATGAAATATTTCCAAAGACACTGTACACATAATGTGATCTTTGAATATGATATTATAGTTGATGTGTTAGTGAAGCAGCAACAGATGAAAGAGTGTTAATATGACAATTATTCTCTGCTCCTAGATTCTCAGACAATAAGATTTGGAGAGATTTGGGCTGTGTGTATGACAGCTGAAAACCTATTTATTTAATTAGGCTTTTAATTTATACTCTCACATGTTACTATTCTTTCTGGTTTCTGTTTTTATTATCATTTACATATTTATTCATCCACTGTCTTTATATTGTCTAATGTCATTGTTGTTCTATTTGCCCTTGTTTTATTATTTCATTTTAATTGTAAAGCACTTTGAACTACATCTCAATAAAAACAGCTCTATAAATAAAGTTTATGATATCATTATCATTATTATTAGTAGTAGTAATAGTATCATTATTACACTTGTATCCAATAAATCTCCCTTTGAGAACCAAAGCACACAAATGTCTTGATTCTGGTATATTAAAGGCGAAACCAGTAAAACTGTTAAACCTATAGTTGGTGCTTGGATCAAGAATATGTCTCAATGTATGTCCATTAAGTGAATAACATTTACCTTGAAAAACAAACTGGATGCAGACGAGGAAATCTAGAACTCATTTATTGATTTTATACCATATGGAGATACAGGAGTGTTTCTACAGGAGGAGAAGTCAGGATAAGATACTGACAGAATTAAAGAAGTGGTAAAAGACCAGACGGGATAGAAGCATGTTTATGTTGTTTAAGTTTATCTTTACTTTTTATACTGTTTTCACGTGATGCTTTTTATCTTTATTTCTTATTCCTCTTTTATGCACATTGAATTACCTCAGCGTATGATAATGTGCAATACAAATAAATTTGTCTTGTCTTGTTAGAGGTACCGTTGAATTGTGATTATGTTTTTTGTGCAATATTTTGATAATAATGTGATGTCTGTATAATCATATAAACACCTCATTGGGTAACGTTACACAGTCTACATTCTGTAACTTGATCAGTTTGAATAAAACTTGAACATTAAACCTTCATGATGAGGATTTATTATATTATATATGTTGTATCAGACTGCAGCAGGTGTTCCTAATTCCTAAATTCATCTTCACTTCACTGTTTTCATATCGATGATATATCAGCTGACTTATCTGAAGAAGCTGCTTCATCATCAGAGATAATGACTGTGGATCTCTTTATGGTTGATGGACTAATCACCTGTTATCTGAGCAGTGAACTGTCAATACTCTTTCAGATGATATATATGATATAACTCCTGTACATATGAAACAGCGTTTGTCTTCCTCCATGTTGGAACACAGCGGCTCACACGGAGAAACGGCGTTGAGATGATGTAACCGCTGCGCCTCGGGGTGTCAGACATATTTTTACCATCTCCCTGAGTGTGACGCATCCACAAGTTGAGAGCAGTGATTGATTTGCATAACGAGGAAACAAGTCAAACTTCAAAGAGAGAGAACAAAGGACGAGGTAGACGAAGATGAAGATCATTTAGAAAAACTCTTCTGGATTACAAACATGTGATTATGAATTATTGATATGGATTAAATATATATCCATACATACATACACATCTAAAGTCTCAGTTTATATAAATGATGATAGAACAAAGAGAAATATGTCTACATTTAGACCAACACAAGGAGTTTACAGTAACATAAAACCTGCTTTTACTGTGAAAGGGAACAGCACCACCATGAGGTCAAACTGTAAACTTACTGACTGTTGCTAATGAGGCAGAGATCCGCAGCTGTGTGTGTGTGTGTGTGTGTGTGTGTGTGTGTGTGTGTGTGTGTGTGTGTGTGTGTGTGTGTGTGTGTGTGTGTGTGTGCATGCGTGTGTGTGTGTGTTGAAAATAATCTTGTTGACCTTCATGCTGCTGCTCCACCTACTAATCACAGAACAGGTTTATTCCCACTTCAGGATGAAGACGGTGATGAAGATGAAGATGAAGATGCTGCTGCCACTCAGCTGCATCCACCTGCAGCTTCGCAACCTGTTCATTTCTGTTGTAGAAACCTTTACCTCACACTGACAGACAGCAGCTAACAGGAAGTGTGTTCTAACACATCCACAACAAAAGAGGAGTGAAGACCTGATGAAGACTGAGCATGAAAGCTCCACGCACTGATCAGCTGATCCACTTTCACTATAAATCACCAGCTCTACACTGTTGTGTTGCTTTCACTCTTCATCATTCTCCTCATTTCCTTGTTATGAATTAAAACATTTAAACTGTGATTACTAGTCCACTCACTTCCTGGTTTACAAACAGCTGTCTGTCATGATGAACAAACCTAATAAAATGTTTTTGTTTGTTTACACTCAGAGAAGCTCTTTGTGTGTGTGTGTGTGTGTGTGTGTGTGTGTGTGTGTGTGTGTGTGTGTGTGTTTGGTTCCTTACATGCTTGCCGTAGTTTGTCCTTGTCATAATGCAGAGCCTCGTAGTCCGTCATACTGATTCTGCTCACTCTGATCCTGAGTCTCTCTGGTACTGGCTGCTGACTGAGATACAGAACACACCAAACCAGTATTAACAGACAGAACCAGACCAGTATGAACATACAGGACCAGACCAGTATTAAGACAGGACCACAGCAGTACTAACAGACAGGACCAGACCAGTATTAACAGAAAGGACCAGACCAGTATTAACAGAAATGACCAGACCAGTATTAAGACAGGACCAGACCAGTATTGACAGAAAGGACCAGACCAGTATTAAGAGAAAGGACCAGACCAGTATTAAGACAGGATCAAACCAGTATTAACAAAAAGGATCAGACTAGTATTAAGAGTCAGGACCAGACCAGTATTAACAAAAAGGACAAGACTAGTATTAATAGATGGGTCCAGACCAGTATTAACAGTCAGGACCAGACCAGTATTAACAGTCAGGACCAGACCAGTATTAACAGACAGGATCAGACCAGGACCAGACCAGTATTAACAGACAGGACCAGACCAGGATTAAGACACGTCCAGACCAGGATTAAGACACGTCCAGACCAGGATTAAGACACGTCCAGACCAGTATTAACAGACAGGTCAAGAACAGTATTAACAGACAGAACCAGACCAGGATTAACAGTCAGGACCAGACCAGTATTAACAGGCAGGAGCAGACAAGTGTTAAAAGGATTAACTGACTAGGGCTGTCACTTTTTCAAAAAATCTATATCGAACGAATTTGAAATTACCCCCAATTGGTACGAATTAATTCGAATGCACTACCTTCCCCTCCGTACTCACGCCCACTACACCAAAACATGTCATTATTTTTGTTACTTTATTACCATTCTTCCAGCAATAAAATGTTAAATTTTTAACAGCTGTATTAACTCATCGTTTTCTTTATGCCTGTCACTTCTACCTTGCTCTCAATAAAACATTTTACAAAAATGTGCCCCACTTTTCATTCAGTGAAACTCATAGTCAAAGTGCTACAGTAACATAGAACACAGAGTAGGACAGAAAACAGGAGGGCGCTCCGACACCTTTGAGCTAAAATTGTAGCAATGTCAAACATGGAACCGATAGCCAAGCCAAACGGCCCAACCTAATATCTAATTTTATTTGCCGGAAACACAAGTCTATCAACATGATCCAGATCAAGTTAAGCTCTCTTTTTATTAACAAGATTACCTGCTGATGGTCTGATGCGCTTATAGAAACTGCAGCCTACATTTCAAACAGGTCCTTACAGCTCGAATATAAACTTTTCACCCCACACTCAAACGAATATTCGAATTTCAAATAAAAAGTGACAGCCCTAAAATAGACAGGTCTAGACCAGGATTAACCGACAGGAGCAGGCCAGGATTAAGACACATCCAGACCAGGATTACAACAGGTCCAGACCAGTATTAACAGACAGGACCAGACCAGGATTAAGACAAGTCCAGACCAGGATTGACAAACAGGACCAGACCAGGAGCAGACCATGATTAACAGACAGGACCAGACGGGGACCAGACCAGATTAACAGACAGGACCAGACCAGGATTAAGACAGGTCCAGACCAGTATTATCAGACAGGACCAGACCAGGACCAGACCAGGATTAACAGACAGGATCAGACCAGGATTAACAAACAGGAACAGACCAGGAGCAGACCATGATTAAGACAGGTTCAGACCAGTATTAACGAACAGGACTAGACCAGGACCAGAACCAGGTGTGTTTGACTCACTCATTGAGGTGTGGTAGTGAAGTCCGTCGTTTGGTTTTCTGGATCATGTTGGCCTGGTTTCTGAGGCTGATGTGGATCACAGAGGGAGCCAGTCTGCATGGTTCACCATCCACCTGACAGAGATACAAGTCCACCAATCAATCAATCAATCAATCAATCAATCAATATGTTATACTTATTCATCATCAGTGAAAGTTTACCTGGACTGGGAGAGGTTTTGTGGTGGTCAGAGTGACTTCTCTGCACTGGTTCAGCCTCTCACCATGACCTCCAACCTGGAGAGTGGCCTACACACACACACACACACACACACACACACACACACACACACACACACACACACACACACACACACACACACACACACACACTGTGTGTTACAGGTTATTGGTTTTTAAGGACCATTAAGGACCCCTCCCTACCCTAGTTACCATGGTTACCATGGTTACCATGGTTACCAGGTCACAGTAAGAGCTGCGTACCAGAGAAGTCATAGTAAATCCAATGACCTCGATGTATCCATCATCATGACGCTGAGGCTCAAAGTCATGATGTTCACTGGGGTTTCCCCAAGGTGTGGTTCCTGCACAATATCTGAACACAACACAGAGACAAAACACATTACAACTGTCAGTACCTGAACACAACAGACACACAAAATCACTTTCAGTACCTGAAGTACACAACACACAGACAACACATCATCATCCCTGTTAGTACCTGAAGTACAGAAAAATATACACAACATCACTGCAACTACCTGAACACAACAGACACACAACACAACTGTCATTACCTGAATTACACACCAGACACACAACACATCAACATCATTGTTAGTACCGAAGTACACAACAGACACAAAACACATCATCATCACTGTAGGTACCTGAAGTACACAACAGACACACAACATCACTGTCAGTACCTGAATTACACAACAAACACACAACCCATCATCATCACTGTCAGTACCTGAATTACACAACAAACATACAACACATAACCATCACTGTCAGCACCAAAGTACACAACAAACACACAACAAATCATCATCACTTTCGGTACCCGAAGTACGCAACAGACACACACACATCATCAGAACCGTAAGTTATGACCTTTGACTTTTATATTCATAATAGCATAATATTAAAGATCATCTGTCTTTAAAGATTTGGAAGATTTGCTCTGAGTTTTATTGGTTTTATTTTGTTTTTTTCACTACAGAACTATGATCACATTTAGGTTCTCCTGTTCACTCACTAACTCTTCCACTCTAAACTGGGTCCAGCTGTTTTAACATTGACCAAAGTGACAGGAAAAGTCAGGCCCTCATCCTCATAGTGTTGTTGGATGGTTCCCCAGTTAACAGAACATAACTTCAGGTTCTACTACAGCAGAGTTTAATTTAGACCCTTGTTCCCCTGGAGGAAGAGAACAACCAGTGACACACTGTACTTTAGTGTGTTAGTGTTAACATTGACATGGTAGAAGGTAGATTTACCTGGGGATGTTGAGGAAGACCAGACACTGCAGCTTCAAGTCCTGAACCTTTGACGTTAAATCAGTCCCATCACACTGGAGACAGACAGAGAGAGGGACAGAGACAATGAGAGAGACAGAAATATAAATAAATAAAACATGGGATAAACTCCCAATAGAAGCCCTCCGCAATGAATTCTGCTGAAGAACTCTTATGTAATGGGACGTGGACAAATTAAACCAAAATTGGTACATCTCCACTGTCAGAGACACAAGCAGAGACAGATCCTGAACTAACACTGACTCAGTGAGCAACACAAAGAAACAGGATGGACAGAGAGGAGCGAGTGTGGGGGTCACTGCTCAACAGGGAGGTAGAGACACAGAGACAGAGAGACAGAAACAGAGTGAGGGAGTGACTCAGTGTTTTTACATAAATGACAGTTTGATTGACAGCTACTCACCACCACCTTGATGTGCTTCGACAGGTCTTTGGAGCTTCCCATCAGGAAGTCTGAGAATGCTGTCTGTATGAGAGAGAGAGAGAGAGAGACAGAGAGAGAGAGAGAGAGAGAGAGACAGGTGAGCAGGACTCTCTAACAGGTGCCACAGTTGGATGTAGACAGTTCTCTGTCTACAGTCTCCACCTCTACAGTCATCAGTGGGTTGTGTATCTGTCACCATGTTTCTGTACAACAGTGTTTACCACACAGAGATCTGAACATCAGATAGTAGTGATATACTGTAAAGCAGCTGGTGTTCTTCAGACTTATACTAGAAAGAACAACTGAGAAAATTTCAGTGACACTGAGACTGAAGATCTTCACACTTCTTACATAGTTTTTTAATATGTTAATATTAATATGTTAAATAATAAACTCATACAAAGCCAAGAGCAACTAATAACCCTGTGTAAATGAAGACATTACAGCTGTTCACCTCCATCACCCAACACTGACTAACGTTTGAATTCACTGCATACATTAACTCTCATGTACTGTGGTGAGAAGTTGTTTGTACAGCAGTCATTTCAATCATACTGTAGACTGTAAATAAAGATGAACGTAGCCCCCATGATGCCACCCAGTTTTAAAGCTGCTCCGTCGTGACCATCTTGGCAGTGTGCGACTCCTCCTAACTCCCGGTTAATCCAAATATGGACAAAGAGGTGCGGCAAGTGGAGCTGAGACTTCAGTCCATTTCAGTTTATAACAATATGAACCTGTTAACATCATTAGCACAGCTGAGGTGTCTAGCTAGAAAGCTAACCCAAGCCTAATTCAGCTGTTGGCTAGCCAGGTAACAAGCTATGTTAACAGCCCAGGTATAATTAGTGCAGACATTGATAACTGCTAACCTGTAACCTGTAAAAACAGGAGCTCAGTCTTCCTCGTGTTCTGTTAATCAGTTAACAAGTCAAGTTATCTGTCTGATATTTACATGAAGAACCACAAACACAGAGAACTCAGTTCACTGACTCAATCACCTGAGGAGACACACCTGTGACAACACTCACTTGGCACTGAAAGAAGCCATTATACATAACTTTAAGCCTTAATAATATGTAAACAGGTGAGTTATATAAACATTCACCCCCCCTGGTACAGTTATCATGAAGGAGGAAATTAGCTATAGGGACCAAAACCATTTTTTGTTTTTTGTAAGTTGGACATTTTCACATTGTCTATGGGGATTTACTCACTGGTGGAGCCAGACTCTAGTGGTCATTAGAGGAACTGCATGTTTAGGTTCTTCAGCGTTGGCTTCATTTTTCAGTCTGGAGGTTGATGCTTGATTTGAACCTGTCCTGTCATTCAACATTTTAGCTTCATCGGGTCTTTCTCAGATGACTCAGGTGATGTTTACCACCCAGAGGACATTCACAGGCCAGGACTACTAAAGGCAAAAGCTGCCTTCATTCATCCAACATTAACCAACTCTTCAACATCATCTGGAGGAAACTGTAGATTGAGTGAAGACATTTATAACTGAATAATGTTAATAATAAAACACTTTAACATGGAGGTGCACTCACTCCAGCATAGAACATCTTATTCCTGAAGCGACTGTTGAACTTCTCTGGGTTGGCCTCTGAAATACACACAGACAGTGAAGTCAACAGTTTATATAATGTTCATACAGTCTTCACCCATCAAAAACATCTGTTTTCTATTGATTATTGATGTGAATTTACCTCTTGATTCATGGAACTCTAGAGTCACGTGGGCATCGAATCCAAGACTGAAGTAATTATTGAAAACATCTAGAGGAAGCTGAGAGCACACACAAACATACACACACACACACACGCACAGACACAGTGAGCAGTGACATCTCATCTTGTTTTAAAAACCTGTGCTTTGCTGGTGACTGGTGGTTGGTTTGTGTTACTGCAGCTTCATTACGTCACTGGTCATAACATGTTTTTATCTATGGAGCAACCTCCACTCTCATTTTGAAGGGTTAAAGATGAAGAGGATATGATGTAAACATGTGTATGTTCACTGACCTTATCAGTCTGTTGTTCATCTAGTTCAGCCCCTGCACTGTGGTTTGGTTCAACCTGTAGATTCCACCTGTCCAGCTGGACGACAGCTCCATCCTCCACGTGGGACAGGATCTTCGAAAGAGGTTCGTCTGTGTAACCCTGTAACAGTTATATCACACAATGCCTTCAATCAGATTACAACTGCAGGTAACTGACTTCAGGTATGTGTGGGTTGTATTGGTCAGTTTCTGTACCCACCCCGCCCCAGTTGAGGGTCCTGGCAAGGTCATTTCCTGTCCCAAGTGGTAACACGGCAACAGGAGGCTGAGGGTTTAACGCCTGCTCATCAAGACAAGACAGGATCCAGCCCACCTGGAACAACAGACACACACAGAGTGAAGACTGAGTCCTCCATCAGGTCTGTCTCAAACAGGAACTCAGCTGAATCAGACAACATCACATCCCTCTCTTTCATTGGAGCTGTCTATTAGTGTGTGTGTGTGTGTGTGTGTGTGTGTGTGTGTGTGTGTGTGTTAGTCCTCACAGTGCCGTCTCCTCCACAGGCCAGGATCCTCAGGTTGTGGACTTTGCGATACAGCTCCAGGCTGGAAGATATACACTGGTTAATAGTCAGTTCAGACATGTTTACTGGTATGTGTGTGTGTGTGTGTGTGTGTGTGTGGGTGTGTGTGTGTGTGTGTGTGTGTGTGTGTGTGTGTGTGTGTGTGTGTGTGAGAGAGACTTACCCCTCCTTTGGTCCTCCCCGGCTCAGGTCAAACACCTGTCTTGGGTTCAGATACCACATGAAGGACTGCAGGATCTTGGTCCCCTGTCAGGGAGACAAACAGGACACTGGAGGACTAGAGACTGAACAAACCCAGAATCTACTACACTGGGACTGGTTCACTGACTGTTTAGCTGAACTGGCTGACAAGCTGCTTGTGACTAGTTGACTAGTTGTTACCTGGTTTCCTCCGCTCTTGGGGTTGACGAACACCAGCAGCGGTTTCATCAGTGGTGAGGGGATGGGTCGGATTATAAACGGCTTCCACTGCCGTCCTTCCTGTATGAGAAGAAGAAGATCTCAGTCTATTGTCCATCCAGACCACCTACCCTGGGACTGGAGGACTGGAGTCCCTTGACCTGGGTTTCCAGTCCTCTAACCTGGGACTCCAGTCCCCTGATTTGGGACTCCAGTCCTCTGACTGGGACTGGAGGACTGGAGTTCCCTGACATGGGACCGGGGCATCAGCTGTTGAACAGTGACATCAGCCTCAGTGACTATGAGCAGAAGAAGTAGAAACATGGATTCATGTGAACCAACAAGAACTTTAAAAGGCGGTGGTATGTGTTTTTTCTGTTTGCTGACTTCCTACACAGCAGAGCATCACTCCTCTCTCCTCAACTGTAGACAACTGTAGAGTGACAACAGCCTCATCAGTCTGACAAATGATTAACACAACTACACTGCTGTGGCAATGTGTAGATGTGACCTGTTCTATCATAAAAACACATAACAGATAAAATCCATCTGTGCTGCCACGTGAATACAATACATTATTCCCATTGATCTGTGACTGCATTAAAACTGATGTGAGGTATGAATGAAGGTGATAAAGAAACAGACAAAGCAGATCACTGTCAGGAGAGTATTGCACATCTGTCCATGTGAACCTGTACCATGTGACCACAGCTGTCACAGACAGACAGATTACAGTGCAAGACTGACCTCTGCTCCTTTCTTACTGCTCTTCCTCTTGAATGACGTCCTCTTCTTCTTCTTACTGGACTTCATAGAAGACTGTCAGAGACACAACACACACAGAGACAGGCTGCATTGTGATTTCATGATGATGTAATAATAATGTTTCCCTTTCTTCAAACAAATGTATGAGACATTCATATCAACATCCATATTCACTATTATCATCAACACATTTCCATGTAGGAGACGTAGCAGCAGAGTCACCACCTCAGCTCAGTCTGTCACCTTGAGGACAAAAACTGTAAATCAGTGAAATGAAAACAATGTAAAGAAAAATATTTGCCTTTAAATCTCAACAGATGTAAATGTTATTCTTGTTTTATTTCTGAAACATGTACATTGTATGTAACAACATTAACAATGAAACTGATTGACAGGACTGCTGTGAAGGTTCACAGGTTCCTACATGTAAAACACGCAGTGAGTCCAGTCTCTGATCCAGGTTAAGAGTGACTGACAACAGTGTTACCTGATGGCGTCGGACCCGGACGATCCATGTGGGTGGGACTATGAGGGCAGCGTGAGCTCCAATTGGACAAGGCTCCTCAATCTGCTGCAGCATGAAGCAGGAAACCTTGTTGTGGTACTGAAGGAATACAAGAAATACAGCAGCTTAAAGCACTGATGCACTGTCTTCTGGTAGTGCATCTTCAGTGGACTGGTTGTCTTTTCCCAGTGTGTATCAATATCAAACTCACAGCCTGTTTGCACCAGGAGCAGCTGATGGCTACGATCTCTTTACTGTGGAAGGCAAACTTCTGCTGGAAGCCCTGCACAGAGAGATGAGGATAAAGGTTTTAATCCACTTCACTGCTACTGAAGAATTCAATTACATCACTGGTTCAGGTTAAAGGGTAAAAACTGTACTGTACTAATGTTAAAGAGGAACTATTATGGCCATTTGTAGTGTTAATCATTTAATTCTTGGTTTCGACTAAAATAGATTTACATGCTTTAATGTTCTGAAAAGACATTATTTTTCTTCTTCTGTACATTTTATACTGTACTCTATTCACCCTCTGAAACGCTGTCAAACAAACAGTTGTGGCAGCTTCGGTTCTGCCTTATCGTTTTGAGCAAGGGTCCGATCCTGAACCAGAAGATGACAGAACCGATCCACCTTCACAAGTTGAGCAGAAAACAAGCATACCCACTGTCAGGCAGCGGAGGGAGGAAGAGGCAGAAATATGGAGAGTGCTGCAAATCAAAACACTGGACAGTCTGCAAAGACTTCGGATGACAATATTCATAACTTTTATGTGTGGACACTTCCGGACTAAAGGAAAAAAAATAATGGAGGAACAGACAGATAGTGGACAGGTAGGGAGTCTCCACCGCTTCACCTCCTGCTTGTTTACATGGTGGTAAATCTGAATTAATTAAACTTTAGTGTGCATAGCTACTGAAAAATGAACTTGGCGGTTAAATTATGGATAATTTATCAGAGCTAACGAGGTACAGCATGTCAATACTGACAAATGTTTAAGTGATCAGGTCGTGGTAAATCAATAGGACCAGGAAGTATTGTCTGGACCCCCAACAAGGCATTTCATACAAAGGAGAAAATTTGGGTTTTTACCCTGACAGAGTTCCTTTGGTGTAAACTTTGATCCTTCTGACTCTGGAGACCATTTACATGCACAAAAACCTATATAACATGTACAGTAAGGGAAAACTCAGAAAAGCATAATAGGTCCCCTTTAAAACAACTCAATGTATAACAAAACAATTAAATTGACTCTTAGAAAATGACTTTGTTATAAAAAAGATTCAGAATCTCCACTCACCTTCCCACACTGTTTACATTTGCCCTCTTGTCGTCTGCGATGAACCCAGTGATGACGCACCACAACGGGCTGAACATAGACAATACACAACACAACAGGTGAGTTTTATATCATTGAACCCATGACCATATCTGGATATGAACAACATGAGAACTATGAGACAAACTGATAGTTAGGAGGAGAAGAAGAAGAAGAAGGGGACAAAGTAGGAGAAGGAGAAGAAGAAGAAGGAAGAAGAAGGAGACGAAATAGGAGAAGAAGAAGAAGGAGACTAAGGGGGAGGAGAGAGAAGAAGAAGTAGACAAAGGAGAAGAAGAAGAAGGAAGAAGACGGAGACAAAGGAGGAGAAGGAAGAAGAAGAAGGAGAAGAAGATGGAGAAGAGGAAGACAAAGGTCCAGAACTCACTTCACGAATGTTCCTAGAGCTTGATTCTCTGAAAGAAGGTTTGCACCTGAAGTTAATCTGAGGAGAAGAAGAGCAGACAGGTGACAACATGTAGGTGATAACTGAGACCACACCTGTACTGGAGGAGGTTAGACAGAAACCACAGGGACACACCAGCAGAACCAAGAATTCAAGGATTAGCAGCTTTAATTTAAAGTAGTAAGACCAAAGAGAAAAGATTAGACTGTAGCAGTGAGAGTGGACTCCATCTCCAAAGAACGAGCAGTGATTCAATGAAGTGAAGAAGAAACAGACACTACCAGACATCTGTGGCTGCTGTCAGGCCACAGTTAGGCCACAGTTAGACCACAGTTAGACCACAATTAGGAGTTAGACCACAATTAGGAGTTAGACCACAGTTAGGCCACAGTTAGCAGTTAGACCACAGTTAGACCACAGTTAAGCCACAGTTGGACAACAGTTAGGCCGCAGTAGACCACAGTTAAGCCACAGTTAGACAACAGTTAGACAACAGTTAGGCCAGTTAGACCACATTTAGGCCAGAGTTAGGCCACAGTTGCACAACAATTAGGAGTTAAACCACAGTTAGGCTACAGTTAGCAGTTAGACCACAGTTAGGCCGCAGTTAGACCACCATTAGGCCACAGTTAGTCCACAGTTAGACCAGTTGGGCCAGAGTTAGGCCACAATTAGACCAATTTAGGCCACAGACAACAGTTAGGCCACAGTTAGGCCACAGCTAGACCACAGTTAAGCCACAGTTTGACCACAGTTAGGCCAGAATTAGACCACAGTTAGGCCCATTTAGGCCACAGTTAGCAGTTAGGCCAGAATTAGGCAAAGTTAGGCCATAGTTAGCAGTTAGACCACAGTTAGCAGTTATACCACAGTAAGATCACATTTAGGCCAGTTAGACCACAGTTTGACCACAGTTAGGCCAGAGGTAGACCACAGTTAGGCCATAGTTAGGCCAAGTTAGACCACAGCTAGGCCACAGTTAGGCTGCAGTTAGACCACAGTTAGGCCACGGTTACACAGTTAGGCTGCAGTTAGGCTGCAGTTAGACCACAGAGTTAGATTAGGCTGAGGCCCACCAGACTGTTCTCTGTGTCCTGGAGGAGGATCATAGAACAAGTCTGCAAACTGCTCTGGTTCACTGTGATGACAACTCTGTTAATTCAGCTTCACACATCACAGAGTTGATGGTGTCCATGTCCTCTAAAGAGTCATCAGTTGGTCATTAGTCTCACATGATTGATGGTAAACTATTAATGTCATGACATGGTCAGCAGTGAGTTTAGTTAAGTTTGATTGGTCCATCAACAACAGACTCGTGTTCAGATCTGGAAGCTTTCAACGAGATCAAATACATGAGACTTGAAGACGTGAAATATTTCCATGTAACGATTAAAAATGTGGAGTCTTCACTTTTAATATGTCACTGTTTCACCTAAACAGATCCAGATGTAGAGAAGGATTCATACTGTTAAAAACAGGTAACCATGTTGAGCAGAGGGCATCATATAGACTGATCCTCTTTAATATGTGTTCTTCCTTATTTTGCTTCTTGTTCACTAATGTGAGCAAATAAAAACCAGAGACAGGAGCTGTGTCCAGAATCAATCAAACATATATAAACTGACCAATTAAAAATACATAAATCAATGAGCTAAAACTATTTGAAGTGAATAATGTTGATTATCTCACTACAACAGAACAGGTCAGGTCTGGGATTTATCAGACAGTAAGTGGACAGTCTGTTCTTGTAGTCAACATGTTGGATGAGAAATGTGCAGCTGTAAAGAGGTGAACCACTTTGATCAATGAGGAAGTGAGAGGAAGAGCGAGAAGATTATTTGATCGAGGGAAAAGAGAAGGACCCTGTTGTGATGATGATGATTTCCAGAGAGTGTGTGTCTGACCTGGATTAGATTACAGTTTAATTCACTAATTTAAAAGAGGATCATCACCACAGTGTTTGTCTTTAGAGGATAAATCTTCCCTCTGTTTACTACAGAGATTTGATAGCTGCATGAACCCCCACCTACACCTGTTTAAATAAACTCATTATGAATGATTGAAGTGATCCAGACACCCCCTCTTTTGAGGATTGTCAGATTCAGGGTCACAGATGAGGACAGAGGACAGGAAGCAGGTCTGGGTCTCACTCTAAAGGTGGGGTCATTGAGGGGCAGGGTGGTCTCCAGCAGAATGGCTCTAGAGCTGGGGAACTGGAGGACAGACAGGGGGGACAGGTGAAGATGACCTGCTGTCTCTGCTCCACACAGGAAGTAAATAAAGACTAGTCATCAGCTGAGAAACAACCTCCCTCTGATCTGAGGGTTTACAGTAATCCTTCTCTTCACTCCTCTCTGATCCTGAACTCATTGCTGAGGACTCAAACTTTAATCCGTCTATATTATTCCTCCATCTAATGAAGGAGGTTTAACTGTCCGTCTTTAATCCCCCCTACCTTTATCTGTCTCTGATCACTGCTACATCTACACCTGAGTCTCTACCTGTCTCTGCTACATTTACACCTGAGTGTCTACTTGTCTCTGATCACTGCTACATCTACACCTGAGTCTATCTGTCTCTGATCACTGCTACATCTACACCTGAGTCTATCTGTCTCTGATCACTGCTACATCTACACCTGAGTCTCTACCTGTCTCTGATCACTGCTACATCTACATCTGAGTCTCTACCTGTCTCCATGATGGGGGTTTAACAGGTGAACATCAGTCCACAGGTAAAATACAGAGACGTTACCTTCTCCAGTTGTTCTATACAGATGGTGTGAGCAACGATCTTACAGGCTGCACACTTCCTCCTGCTGACAGACTTTTGCTGGAAACAGAAACAGTAGGAGAACATGATGAGTTTTAAATCACAGGAACAAGAACCAGAGGTGAAACCAGAGACAGCAGAGAAACCGAGATGCTTCATTTCCATTTATTTCCACCTCCCTGCCCCTTTAGGAGACCGGAAGCAGGTCTGAGTATATTCATTCCAATGGGCGAAGTGAACAAGATCACAGATTATCACAGCTTCTTTCGCTCACTGAAATAAATATTGGACCCAGTTTTCACAAGCCACACGTGTTCAGAACATTCTGACATCAAAATGACATTTTTCAGACAAACAGATACAAGTAGATACAAGTTATCCATCAGTTAGTGTTAAAATGCCTGATTTTTGTGCTGTAATAACAGGCTGTAATAAGAAGAAAAGCGGATCTGTCTTTTCTTTCCCAAAGGATGCAGAGAGGTAAGTCTAGACAGGGATAGATTTTAATATTAGCTACTGTCACATTTCATGCCAGTTGTCTTGACTTGAGGGAGGGGTTGAGGGACAACGCCACTTAGGAGACCTGAACTGTGTCCCATTTCATACCACTGGCACTGCCTGTAATGCGGTATCCTTTGTATAGAGGATCTTTGGTGAAACTGCTTGTATTTAGAATAATTTAGTTTAACTGATGCTCAGGAGCAGCGATACCATTTCTGACCACTGGGGGTCAGTGTTGTGCTGCTGTGACCTGACACCACCACAAAAACACAGAAATTTGACACATATCACCTCACATATGAAACATAGCACATGTCCTTTAGACATCATTCCCTCACACCTACTTAAGGAAGTGTAAACACTGTTCGGCCTAATATTTAAACAATAATGACAAGGTTAAAGGTCAGTTGCTTTGTCCCAGCTTGCTTTAAACAGATCAAACCTAATCTAGATCCAGTCTTATGTGGTCCTGCCTCAGCTGTTTCCTGTTGTGTCTCATTAGTAAAGACACGATTTGTTTATTAAAGGTTCTTCTGATGAATACTGGTGACAGGAGCTTTGTAGAAAGTAACACTGACACTGATTCTGTAAAGATATGATGCTGATTCTATTGTTTTTGTAATTTTATATGAACAAGTTGTTTTATAAGGACTATAAGGAAAACCATTATAATGTAGTTACACTGTACCCCAGGCTCACAGTGATGAATCTGAACAGTATGACATGTGAAATGTACCAGAGCCCTGAGAGAAGAGGAGGGAGAGGAGAAAGAGGAGTACTCACCAGTGCTTTGGCAACACAGTGTTGTTCTCCAACATAACAGTAATCTCCAGACGCATTGGTCTCAAACCAGATGTGGTCTCCATACAAAGCTGACTCCTGCAGGACAGACACACACAGATATAACCTGATCCTCTACAAGCACAGAGAGGTTTCAGTTGAACAGACATGAATCTTTGACCTAAAGGTTTCCTCAGACCCTCCTTGTGTCTCCCTGATCCAAGACTTACAGTCCAGTCCACAGTGCTGCGGATGTGAGCCTCTGGGTCGGTCCTGGTCAGAGACGAGGTGCTGGGTTGACAGGGCAGGTGGTGCAGGCCAGACTTGGCGATGGCTTTCCTGAAAACACAGACAAGCCAAATACTTAATGTGAATCTAAAACCTCGTCAGTCAGACTGATCAAATGTTTCTGAACCTGAAAGCATTTAAAACTGAAAATTTCACCTTTAATATTCGGAAATAACAGAGTTCATTCATCCTGATCAGATAGTACGAATACCAACACATCAGCCTCAGATTATACAGCGACATCTAGTGGCCACTGTCATCAACGCCACCTCACCAGTAATTAAATACAGGCAGTGTTATAGATGTGAGTCTAATCTCCTCACCTCACAACAGGCTCCACTCATTAACCTGTAACTGAGGTTGGTATCTCTGATTTACACAACTTTCCCAATATTTATTTTAGATGTGTCTTAATTTTCAAAAAGCTGTAAAAAACCTTTCCTGTGACTCTGACGAGGTGTGGGTACACTACAGAACACAGTACTAAACTAAATGACAGTTAGGACTTATTTCTTTAGATTACCCATGTCAATTTGAAAGCAGAAAAAAAGTATTCTGACCTATGTTTTAATTTTCTGTTTTCAAACAGGGACCTTAAATGAACTGTTCACTTCAATCTCTTCTTTTAGTTAGTGAAAGTTCAGACAGGGCGACTATCTCCTCGCCCTCTAAGTCACAATCATGTTTCCTGTCATCCTGTAAGCTCAACCCACTCATTTTTCATCTTCATCCAATCACAACCTGAGACGCTGGCCTTAAGCCAATAACTTGTGTGTGTTCTCTCTCTCTCTGCTGTCATTCAGCACTGTGAGGCCTGACCATCTCCAATCAACCAAGACGTCTTTTACTTCAGATTTATACATTTTACTTAAGATTTCTCAAATTCTGGTTTTCCTCTCATTAGTCTGTCCTGATTGAAATACTGTAATTCCATCTGTTATTAAACATTAAAAATGCCCTGGTGTTGCTGCTACCCAGGACCTCATCACCATCTGAACAGATGAGTAAACATGACAGCAGCTGGTAGTCACTCACTCATAACTTCATCATTCACGCATGACTTTATCAGTCATTCATAACCTCATCACTAATAACCTCATCACTCACTCATAACTTTATCACTTAGTCACTAAAAACCTCATCACTCATTCATAACCTCATCACTCATAACCTCATCACTCACTCATAACTTCATCACTCACTCATAACTTCATCACTAATAACCTCATCACTCACTCATAACTTCATCACTTACTCACTCATAACCCCACCACTCATTCATAACCTCATCAGTCACTCATAGCCTAATCAGTCACTCATAACCTCATCACTCACTCATAACTTCGTCACTCACTCATAACTTCATCACTCATTCATAACTTTGTCACTCATTCATAACCTCATCACTCACTCATAACCTCATCACTCATTATAACCTCATCACTCACGTATGTATCATAACTGTTCTCATCTCTACAATATTGATGCTTCAGTTCTTCAACATTTCCAGTTTTCCAGGACAACTTTAAAACCAGATTATAAACGGACAAAGATCTGACTCGGTCACAAAGGTTCTGGTCTGAACCGGATCACCTCCTAAGTCTGGACCCAGACAGGGATCTCTCATTCCCAAGTGAAGTCATTACTTCTGATTTGGTCAATTTAATGTTGTAACCACATATATGATCAGTCAAAGAGCCAATCACCAGGAGGAGTCCAACCACACATCATCCACATATAAACTAACTGATGCTCCTGACAACATTGTTAATATTTGTTTCTATCAATATAGATTACTGCAATGGAGGGAGGGGGTTATGATGGATATGGAGGATATGATGTCATTGATGACATCACAGGGTCTGTGTATAATAATAAAAATAAGAAATTCACTTCCTCATCGAAAAACTGTTCATTTCCCCTTTTCCTGTAATAACTACATTATGTCCTGATGATGATGATGTGAGGACAGGTCGTTCTACCTGTGAGACTCACACCTGTTCTCAATTCGTTCTAGTAGAGGTGATAAACAACAACAAGCCTCAGTATTAAATCATCATCTGTGAACAAACTCAAACTAATCACTAAACTTTTTTTTCTTATGACGTTTGGATGGAAGGAAGTTTTGTGTATTAAGTTATTTAACCTTTTTTATACATTACGTAACATTACGTTATGTTACATTATATTATGTTGCGTTAAGCTACGCTACGCTAGGCTAGGTATTATGGCAAGGCTATGCTAGGCAATGTGAGGCTACACTACCCTACGCTACCTTAGTTTATGTTACGCTACATTACACTGCGCTATGTTACACAACACTATATTACGCAATGCCACATAACATTACTTTCGTTATGTTACATTACGTTAAGTTACATTATGTTATGTTATGTATATTGTTTGAAAAAACAGTACATTACTGTAACACTATTCAAATGATGCGCTGGCGACAAGTGGCAGCAAGTCCACATAGCTCGTAGTTTTTTGCAATATCTTTGTATATATATATATTTTTTGTCCATTGATGTTTTTTATTCAATGTCATTTTGTCTGACAACTGGAAAAATAATGTACACAAAGGAAGAACTCCTGGCTTTAAAGTATACTAGATATGGAGTTAAACATCTCATACCAGCTGAACTGAAGAAGCTGTACCGTGGATGCAGAGCCGGGGCTGAGCTAAAGGCTAGGAGATGGAGATATACGCCTTTTCTACCATCAATCCTTATGGGAAATGTCAACTCCCTGGCTAACAAGTTCAATGAACTGGAGGCACTTGTGAAGAACCATCGCGCATATCGTGAGTGTAGTCTCATGTGTTTCACAGACACCTGGTTAAACAACAACACTCCCGACCGTTGTGTGGATTTACCCGGCTTCACTGCAGTAGGAGCGGACAGAGACACCAGAGCAAGTGGAAAGAATAAAGGTGGAGGACTGGTTCCGTTTGTGAGCAATAGATGGTGCAACCCAGTGTCATATCACAGTGAAGAGATCTGCTGTTAGGATATTGAACTGTTGGCAGTTGGTCTTAGACCGTACTATGTACTGAAGGAGTTCTCTCACATTGTCGCCATTGTTGTTTACATTCAACCATGAACAAGACTATTGCAAGAGTACAGACCCAGCACCCTGATGCAATCATTGCAATATTGGGGGATTTTAACCATGTCATGCTCACCTCTCACCTGTCTGGCTTCACTCAGTATGTTGACTGTCCCACAAGGGAAAATAAGACACTTGATCTGTTGTATGCAAATGTCAAGGAGGCCTACACTGCTTCAGCTCTACCACCACTTGGCAGATCAGATCATAATCTGGTTTTACTTCAGCCTTCCTACAAGCCCTGTGTACTGCGGCAGGCTGGACCCCAAAGGCCAGTGAGTGTCTAAAAGACTGTTTTTAGTGCACAGATTGGAATGCACTGTTGGAGTCACAGGAATATGATAAAAGTAAGGACCCTGACCTTGATAGAATGGTTGAAAGTACCATGGAATATATTAACTTCTGTATGGACATTGTAATACCAGCAAAGACTGTACACTGCTTTCCAAACAACAAACCCTGGATCACCAGTAACATCAAGACCCTCCTCAACCAGAAAAAGGAGGCCTTCAGGGATGGAGACAGGGAGAAGCTCAGGTGTGTGCAACATGAGCTGAAGATCAAAGCAGGCGAAGGAGGACTAAAAAAAGAAAGTGGAGAGGAAGCTGCAGCACAACAACACCAGAGAGGTGTGGAAGGGGATGAGGACCATCACTGGCTATAAAGAGAACAGCCAGACAACATCAGGTGATGTGGACAAGGCCAATGAGTTCAACCTGTTCTACAACAGATTTGACACAGCTACACCTGTTCTCTCTCCAACTGCTTCAGCTGCAGCTTCTCCTACGGCATCTCCTCCACAACCTGACACTGCAGCTGCAACTCCCTCCACACTGTGGGGATGAGTCTCCTGTCCTTTACAGCAGAGGAGGTGAGGGCAGAGCTCAAGAGGCTACGCCCTGGAAAGGCAACAGGCCCGGATGGTGTGTGTGAGGCTGTTAGAGGACTGTGCAGCCCAGCTGGCTGAGCCTCTCCAGAGGATCTTTAACTTAAGCCTTCAAACAGGGAGGGTCCCAGTCCTATGGAAAACATCATGTCATGTTCCGGTACCTAAAGTAAGACGACCGGCTGAGATAAATGACTACAGACTGGTGGCCCTCACATCACACATCATGAAGACCCTGGAGCGGCTGCTTCTCCACCTTCTGAAGCCACAAGTTGAACATGCACTAGACCCTCTACAGTTCGCCTACAAAGAACATATTGGAGTGGATGATGCCGTCCTTTACATGCTCCACAGGGCCCATTCTTACTTGGATGAGCCAGGTAGTTACATGAGGATTATGTTCTTTGATTTCTCAAGTGCATTTAACACCATCCAACCCCCCATTCTTAAAGACAAGCTGGAAGGGCTGGAGGTGGATCCCTGCTTCACATCCTGGATTGTGGATTACCTGACAAGACGACCACAGTACGTCAGGCTGGGTAATTGGGTCTCAGGGACAGTGATGAGCAGCACTGGGGCTCCACAGAGGACTGTTCTGGCTCCGTTCCTGTTCACGCTGAATATGGCAGATTTTAAATACAACTCTGACTCGTGCCACATCCTGAAATACTCGGATGACATGGCTATTGTGGTGTGTATCAGGAACGGGCAGGAGGAAGAGAAGTACAGGGATCTGACGATGGCCTTCAGTGAATAGAGCGACAAGAACTGCCTCCTTCTGAACACCTCGAAGACCAAGGAGATGGTCATCGACTTTTGGAGGTCTAGGCCCACCCTTCAGCCAGTCACCATTCGAGGGAAGGACATTGAGGTGATACACACTTATAAATACCTAGGTGTGCACCTGGACAGTAAACTGGACTGGTCCCTGAACACGGATGCCATCTACCAGAAGGGGCAGAGCAGGCTCTTTTTCCTCAGGAAGCTCAGGTCCTTTGACATTTGCAGTGAAATGCTGCACGTTTTATCAGTCAGTGGTGGCCAGTGCACTCTTTTA